CTCGGAGAACATGGCGGCGGCGGCGGTCCCGCGGGACACTTTACCTGAGCACTGGTCTTACGGCGTGTGCCAGGACGGCCGCGTTTTCTTTATCAAGTGCGGCGCGGGAACGAGGGAATGCGGGCAGGGGCGTGTGGGCGTGGGGCCCGGCGGGCGGGCGGGTGTCCCCCGGGCGGCGGCGGCGCTAACAGGTGCACCTCTCTCCCCTCAGTGACCAGCTACGCTGCACAACCTGGCTGCACCCGCGCACCGGGGAGCCGGTCAACTCTGGCCACATGATCCGCTCAGGTGAGTGCGGGGCCAGCGGGGTGGGGTGTACTCCGGGCGCGCTACGCGGAGGCCCAAGTTTGACCCGACTTTCTCGTGTCTCCGCAGACCTGCCCCGCGGCTGGGAAGAGGGCTTCACGGAGGAGGGCGCCAGCTACTTCATCGAGTGAGTTGGGGCGCGGTTGCCGCGCCGGGCCTGGGGGAGCGCGCCGCGCTCTCACCTGTGCGGCCCGGGGCAGGGGCGCTTCCCGCCGGGTGCCCCGCGCCCCTCCTTCCCCTCCGGCGCGGGCCGGGGTTGAGTTGGCGCGCACAGCGCCGCGGCCGCGCTTGTGCTGGGTTCTGTGTGCCCGAGTCGTGTGGCGGGCTCCGGGAGGGAGGCGGGGTGGAATCCGCATCTCCGCTGGGGGACCAGGACGCGAGTCGGGGCGCAGGTCTGGGATCTGGTCCGTTGGGTAGTCACGGGCTGCAGACTCTGCGCCGTGGACCTTGCAATGGGGCCAGATTGGGGTTTGAGGGGCCGGACACGCCTCCCTGCTGAGTTCTGGGGCTGCGCGGAGCCTGGACCTGCGGGAGTGGGTAGAGGAGAACAGGAGTTCGGCCCAGGTCCGGGGCCCGAGGGGACACGAAGGGAATATCCTTGGGAGGCCTTCCCTTTGGCCAGTTCTTTGGGATGGTCGCGGAGGGTCGTAACCGTGCCCCCCCACCCCCCAATCCCTCCTCTGTGTGCGCCTGTGGGGAGGGGTGGGGTTGGGGAGGGGACCGATCAACCAATAATATTCGTCGAACAGTCCGCGTCTGCTTAGCTGTTGTGGAACCGGGAAGCTCACTTTTGCATCCGTTAGTCAGGCGGTAGCTTTTCCTCAAAAACCTTTGAACGTTGGTCCCCACTAGCCAGGTTAGTACAGCAGACTTGGGTCTGTAGAAATAAGATCAAGGGACAGTAAATTAAAGTGTCGTTCAAACTCTTAACACTTGTAGAGTCATTACCCCGCCCCCCACCCTGTGCCTGTGTCACAGCGGTTTCTCACTTTGCTTGCTCTTCTGTAGCTCCGTGAGGTTGGAAACTGCTTTTGATCCTTTGCCCCAGTGCCTGGCACAGAGCAAGCACTGGGTAAATGTTTGTTCACTGAATGAATGAACCAGCCAAAGGTCTGGACGGTGGTCTGACTGTTCCTGGGTGTACTTTTGGAGACTGAGTCAGAATTCACTTCTTCAACTTGAAAACATTGTTAGTAGTGAGGCAGCATATTTGAAACTGGGATGATCCCAGAAAATCCCAGGTCTCCCTTGTTGATTTGGGCTGTAGCATGAGACCCCACAGGTGTTAGCTGATTGAAATACTGAAGGATGACATTTATAGAAGAGAGGTCTGGGGCGATAACTGTGGTCCTGTTGTCCTGTCTCCTTGCCTTGTGGGTGTGTGTGGGTGGGGGAACTGCCTGAGGACCCTCAGAACTTCTCTGTCAGTGGACCCATCTGGTTTATAACTGGGTCAGTTGATGTTTATTAAATGCCTCTTATGTGCCAGGCATTTTTCTAGGCATTGGGACTACAGAAATGAGTCAAACAGACAAGGTGCTCATGGAGCTTGCAATCTAGTGTGTGTGTGTGGGGGGGGGTGTCACAGAAAATAAATAAATAGTAGTAACTATACTATGCAGAAAATTAAAATAAAGTGTAATATCACGTGGTTTGGTTGGATTGGGAAGTCAGGGATGGTGTTTCTGAATAGATGACATTTAAACTAAGATTTGAATGACAAGAAGGAACCATCCTTGTGATGATAAAGGGGAAAAGCATTCAGGGAACAGCCATCAAGGCCCCTAACGCACCAAAGATCCTCATTTTCAAGAAGCAGAAAGACTAGTGTAGCTGGAACATGGTGAACAAGGGACAAGGTGGTATGAGAAAACGTTGGAGGTGGGAGACAGCTGAATGGTGTATGGCTTTGTGTCCCAGGGTAAGTATAGTTTTTAAACTTTATTCTAAGCCCAGTGAGAAGCCATTGGGGGGTTTTAAGCTGGGAGTGACATTTGACTTGCATTTTTAGAAAGATCAGTCTATCTGCTGTGAGGAGAATGGACTGTAGGTGGACGACTGTAGGAAGGCGGGACAGCAGCAGGAGGCTGTTGCTGTAGTCTAGGCAACAGCTGATGGTGGCTTGACCGAGGGTGGCAGCAGTGGAGATGGAGGGAAGTCAGATTCAGGCTGTATTTAGGAAGTAGAGTCTGAAGACCTTCCTGAGGGAATGGATATGGTTTGGGAGAGAAAGAGAAGAGTCAAGGATGACTCCTAGGTTTGGGGCTTGAACACCTGAGTTGATGGTACGTATACCACTGAGAAGGGAAGTCTGAGTGAGGAGCAGCTTTGGGGTTGGGGAGAGTCATGAGATCTTGTTTTGCTGTGTTACATTTGAGATGTGATATATCAAGTAGTCAGATGTATGAATCTGGAGCTTGGATGGGAGATAAGACTAAAGAGAAATATTTGGATATTACAGCTGTTATTCAGGGCCAGGGGATTGGGTGCATTTACCTAGGAAGAGAGTGTAGACAGGAAAGAGAACATGACCTAAGCCTTGGGACATACCAGCGTTTAGAGGTTGGGAGAAAAGGTGGATCAGACAAAGGAGACTGAGAAGGTAGGAGGAAACACAGGGAAATGAGTGGTCACTGAAGTCTAAAGGAAAAGCTTAACTGCAGTAGGTGGAAGAGAAAATATGCCGTGAGGAAATGGAGGCAGGAAGTATAGGCAAATCTTTCCAATTGTTTTGTTGGAAGTGGAGTTGAGAAATTAGCTGTTAATTGGGGAGTGATGTGGGTCTAAGGGAGGATTTTCTTCCTTTTTTTTTTTTTTTCTCTTTTTTTGGTGAGAGATTCTAGAGCATGCTTTGTTCTGATGGGAATAATCTAGTAGAGAGGGAAACATAGATGATGCAGAAAAGACATGAGACAATTGCTGGAGTGGTGTTCCTGAGAAGGTGAGAGGGATGAGTTCCAGAACACAAGTCTCCACTGGTCTCTGACAGGAGCTGGCCACTTCATCCATTAGACAGGAGGAAAGACTGAGGGCTGGTTGGATGTAAGGAGGTTGGGAGATTTGGTCAGGTAGAGGTGGGTCCTCCTGTTGCATGGTTTCTGTTTTTCCCATGAAGTACAGGCAAAGTCTTCAGCTGGGCTGTTTAAGGGCACTGACTGTACAGTCAACTGTCCTCGTTTGCTGACTCTCCCATGGTAATTCTTGTTGGCAAAGTCCCTAGTGCTTATCCTATAGAAAGCCCTGCTCCCTACCCCCTGGGCCTCAATGAATCCTCCCAAGCCTAGGGGAAAGCAGTGTGTGACAGCGTCCCAAACCCTTTTGTGGTAATTTCTTGAGAAATTTAAGGATTCGTGAGTAACTGTTCTTTTCCCCACATAAAGAATGTTTTGTTTCAGTCTGCTTTCTCAGATTTGCTATGAGCACGTCTGAATATTAGAGATTGATTTGTGTGTGTGTATCCTCCTGTAACATGGCTCAGTAAGGTTGTGGGGCGGGGGGGCGCCAAACATGGACACAGCTGATTTTATTTTTCCTAATGGATTCTTGGACAGGAAAGTTGTGTGAGGTTTTCAGGATGCATCAGTTGCTCCTCATACTTCCCAAAAACCAAACCCATTGCTGTCGAGTCAATTCCGACTCCTAGCGACCCTACAGGACAGAGTAAAACTGCCACATAGTTTCCAAGGAGCAACTGGTGGATTTGAACTGCCGACCTTTTGGTTAGCAGCTGTAGTTCGCCATAACTCCAAACAACTGTGCCACCAGGGCTCCTCCTCATACTTAGCAGATATTTTAATATGCTCTAGCATCCATTTCTTGCAGCAGAAAACTTGAGCACTTCATGATGTGGAATACTTGCTGATTTCACGGGGTGCTTGCTGAGGTTCTCTCTCCAGAGGAGAGCATGGGTTTGAATCTTTTTGCTCAGCATAAGACAGTAGCATCTCAGTAAACTGAAATGAAGTAAATATTGGCAGAGGGGAGAACAGAGGAATATGGTTTTATTTGCCTCTTGTTTTTAAATAAAACACAAGTAAACATCTTTCTAGTATTTTCTGCTTTCAGTGGCTGTCAAAACATTTGCTTTTTGTTTTTCTGAAATGAAGTATTCGGTGTTAATGTTTTATTGTTTACAGAGTGTTTCGCAAACATTATCTGGCTTGAGTCTCACAGTCATTGCATTTTTTAGTGCAAAAATTTGGGCTCAGAGAGGGGAAGTGAGTTCCATAAAGCCACTCATTATATTAGTTCAGCTTTTCAATCAAAACTCTAATGACAGAAAAGAGGAAAGGCCAACCACCTGGGAGCCTGGATGCAGAAAACGTCACCAAAATGTTGGTTCTATCCAAAAATTCACATAGACTTTACCCTCAATTGAATTTGTTAGAAAACCTCCTCCCACATTTTCCGTTAAGATCAAAACCTTGGAAAGTTGCATCATGTTATTGTATGGCTTTGTGTTTTCCTAAACAGAAACATGTACCAATTCCCCTGTTAAGTCTTAGGTGACGAGGAAGGCTGGGGAGACTGCTCAGTGGCCTTCCAAGGGCCCTACGTAGCCCAGAGTGGCAGGTACAACAGTCCTTGAGGAAAACAACATCAGCAGCTGCCATGACCTCGGAGCATCTCTTGCTCAGGCCGAGTTGTGCCAGACCAGCTCTCTTGCATCCAGCCTGCTCACAGTTATCTGGATGCTGGCCAGGACAGCAGGGTTGGATTTCCTTGAAGCCCAAAGCACAAATCAGGCAACTTCATCGTGCAGAAAAATGTATAGGGGTTGTATATGTGGGTGGTAGTGTTTCAAGGAAGCAGTGCGTAAGTTCGGGCTCTGGAATCAGACTATGTCGTTCTAATTCCATTTCCATTGCTTACAGTTCCCTGACCTTGGCAGGTTATCCACTTGCTTTAAGCCTTACTTCCTCCTGGTAAAATAGGACTAAATGTGAGGATTCTATGAGTAATTGATGGGAAGGCTTTAGCATAGCGCCTGGCACATGGTAAATGCCCAATAAATGTGAGCTCCTGTTCAGTGCATCCACACAACTATTAGTTGGGGTGGGGATGTGAATTCTGCGTCCTAATCACATTCAGCTGCTGCTGCGGTGATCAGGTGCCCTTAAACTGGGA